TGAAGATTACCGCTACATCATGGTTGCTGCTTATCGGTGCCCGAAAAGCTATATGAGTGCAAAGGCAATCCCTGAATGCGACCATGATTTCTACGTTCCAGACGAACCAGAAGGTGATGAAGATGATCCTATGGCTTTGGAGGATGAACCTGAGGGTGAAAGTGAGGAAGCGCCGGACACTGGTGGTGAAAGTGGAGAAGATTCAAAGTTTGAGGAGGAGGCTGAAAAGCTCGCAGATCCCGAAGAACATTCCACAATTTATGTCACCAGATGTTTGAGAAGGCGAACTGGACCTCATGCACTACAAGCTGCAAAAGAAATCCTCCTACAGCTACGTCAATGTGGTCTTCATGTGGAAACGATCCACACCGATCGGGCCAGAGAGTTCAAGACTGCAGCCTTCCGCTCATGGACAGCAGATGAGAAGTTGAGGCATACCCGAACTGCGGGCGCAGATCCTGCTGCAAACAGTACCGCGGAGGTGGGTGTGAAATGGGCGAAAGGGCGAGTTCGTGCTCTTCTAAAGGGCGCTGGAGCAGGACCGCAGGACTGGCCTATGGCGATTTCCCATGCTTCTGCTTCCTTATGGGCAAAGGCTTTCCCCTCTTCTCCATGGACAAGGCAACCGGCATGTCCTTTTGGAAGTGAAGTTTGGTTCCGTGCAAAAGCATACAAGGGAAAGGAGGAGTTGAAGCACGAAGCTGCGGGAGACCGGTGGAAGAGAGGATGGTACCGAGGACCAGCAATGGATGTGAGTAGAGGGCATCTTATATTGAGAGATGATGGAGGTTTGACCATTGCCAAAAGCGTCAAGTTCAATGTGATCAATCCCAGGGAGGAGTTCCCTGACCTTCTATCACCTGCTGAAGCAGATGGACTTCGAGAAGAAGATCCCCTTGATGATCGACCTCCCACCCGGTCTGAACTAAAGCGGGAGATTGAGTTCCTTGCAAGGAGAAAGCTCGAAGAAAAGAAGTTCACTACGCGGGATGTTCTACAGGTTTATGAGCGCCTCGAAGCACTTGGAGATACTGACTTGCGCCTGGGGAAAAAGACCTCAACCTCCTCGTGGTTTACTGGTGCGTTTGTCCACGGTGGTTTGGCAGGTACGAGAATGAACCTCCGATCCTACCCCTTCACCACTAAGTTCCTTGTGGAGTTTGGCAAGAAGTTCGCTCATGGAAAGTCTTTCAGCGCCGTGGGAATTGCAAGAAATGCAGACCTGGGACTACATCGAGATATACACAACTCGAGATCCTCGATGAACATGGTCGTCCCCCTGTCCGAATTTTCTGGTGGAGGAATATGGGTGCAAAGTAATGGACAGGAAGGTGATGACGGTGTCACCAAAAGTCTACCCAATGGCCAAGAAGTTCAGGGACAAGTTTACGACCTAAAGTTTGAGGAGAAGTTTGAGTTTGAACCTCAGAAATGGCACCAAGTTCAAGAATGGCAGGGCGATCGAGTGGTTATGTTGATGTACACGCCAAGGGCGACCAAGCTAAGTGAAGGGGACGTTCAAGACCTCAGAGATCATGGTTTCCCAATGGACGAGATCATCAAGGGCATTCCTGATGAGGAGGAGGACCAAAAGGAGAACCCCTCGGACCTCGACTTCGACATTAACCTCAAGATGATGACCGTTGAGGAAAATGAGGTGACAGCTTTCATTGAAATTGATGAAGATGATCTTTTCCAGTCGACTATGTCAACATCAAGTGACTCGCGCACTCCCTCGATAAATCCCTCTGTGAAGAGAATCCTGAAGAAGGCAGAGGTTCAGTACACCCATGGCATAGAAGAGATTCTTTCAAGTCATGAAAAAGAATGCAAGCCCCTGGAGGTGACCCACACTGTTTCGTTGAGTGATGTGAGAAAAAACCTTCAGGCATGGGCTCCATCGGCTTCAAAGGAATACGTGAACCTCAAGGACTCGAAGAAGGCCTTCGAAGTAAGAAAGAGGAGTGACCTGCCTGCAGATTGTCTTCTGTTGCCCTGTAAAGGGGTATTTACTATCAAGCCGGACAAGGGCCCTGTTGGATACAGAAGAAAAACGCGCTTTGTGGCTTGTGGAAATCATGCCCCAGGTGATGGTGATCAGAGTGAACTATATGCTGCTGGACTGGACGCAACTTCGTTCAGGATTATGTTGTCGTTTTCCTCGAGAAAGAAGAAGTGGAAAATAGGAACAACGGATATCCGCCAGGCTTTTGTTCTTGCTCCATGGAGGGGAAGATCGGTGGCACTCATTCCCCCGCAGATCGCAATAGACCTACATTTGGCCGAGCCAGGGGATGTCTGGTTCGTTCGCCAGGCCCTTTACGGGCTTCGCGAGGCACCAGCTTTATGGGCTGCCTACAGAGATCAACAGTTGCGTGCTGCGAGGTGGTTTGTGGATGTTGACGGAGTCTCTACCGAAGTGAAGCTTCAGCAGCTTATCTTCGATGATCAGATTTGGAAAATTGTCAGGACCAATGGCAACAACGAAGCTCTCGGTTACGTGATGGTCTACATCGACGACCTGATGATTATGGCCGAGGAAGGGGTCATGCATTCTATGTTCAAGTGGGTTTCTGACCAATGGGAATGTGATGATCTTGATGTTCTTGAGTATGATCACTCTATCAGGTTCCTGGGCATGGAGTTGCATAAGACCGTTGATGGTGTGGAGTTATCTCAAGAAGGCTTCATAAGAGAACTCCTACGGGCCCATGACCATTCGGGGAGTACATCACGGTCGCAAGGATCACGTGAAGCCCTTCTTCTCACGGTTGAAGAGGAGGAAGCGCTGTTGAGTGCAGAAAAGATTGACTTGTCCGGACAAGAACAACAAGTTAAAGAGGCTCAACGGTGGGTTGGTGAAATGCTTTGGTTGTGTGGGAGGACTCGACCCGACATCCAGTACATCACTTCCATAATGGCATCGCGTTTAACAAGGTGCCCAGACTTGGTCAATAAGCTTGGGATGAGGCTGTTGGACTATTTGGCCGAGACCATAGGATACAGACTTGGGTTCTTTGACGATGGTGTTGAACCTGAGCTCAGAGCGTATACCGACAGCTCCTTCAGTCCCAGTTCGGGGAGATCTCATGGTTCAGCAGGAATATTTTATGGTTCATCAGCTATCTTTTGGCGATCATCGAGACAGCAGTTGGTGACGCTTAGTACGGCAGAATCAGAGCTGCTTGAAGGAATTGATGGGTGCCAATTGGCTATGTCGACGGTGGGTCTCATTCAAGAGGTCAGCGGCTACGACAAGGGCATCTACTTGCACCTGGACAATCAAGCAGCAATCTCCTTGCTTACGGGGAGTACCGGAAGCTGGCGTACGAGGCATTTGAGACTAAGATCGTCTTGGATAAGAGAGAAAGTGAATGATCGTGAAGTTCATGTACGACATGAACCGGGAGTTTCCCAACGCGCCGATATAGGTACCAAACCTCTGCCGAAGGAAAGACTGAAGCAGTTGGCGTTGTTATGGAACCTCAATGACAGGAAAAAGGATGAGAAGCACATCAAGGCAGCGAGTGCGCAAGAGCCCTCATGGTGTACGAGGTTGTTGTTGCTGTGTCAGATATGTGGTGCGGCAGCCGAAAAAGAAGGGATACAAGCAGAAATCCCCTGGGACCTCTATTTGGCCGTGATCGTCTTGAGCATTGCGGTGATTGGTTTGTGGGAAGGCTTTAAGCAATGCCTACGGGGTCGGGAAGCAAAAATCAAGGCTTTGCGAGCAAAAGCCAATAAGATCGCGACGAAGCGGAAGCTGACGAAACCGGAGTTGAAAGAGCTGCAGCGTATGTTGGCTTTGAGGCCGGAGCAGTTGACTGCAGATCAAAAGGTTAGGCTCCTTGAACTACGGGAACGTTTCGAAGAGACAATGCCACCCGGGACCTCACCTGTACCTACTTTGCCAACTTCGGCTATGGCTTCTTCGTCAACAACACCCATGGAACCAAAAACACGAGACCAAGGAGTGCAAGCAACACCAGCTTTCGAGAGGGTTCACCCCGAGCCGCCAGCGAGGATGGTTACTTTCGAGGGACCCTTCATCAATGTTCCGGGGAGAGATAATCTCCATATTTTCCCAGAATGCTGGGGACTACGGAATGCTGGAAAGACGCAGGCCCTAAATATCTGCCGTTGCTGTGCACAAAATGGAGGTCGCAGAATCTATTGATGCGGCCCTGACGAGAGCATCAAGGAGGAGTATGAAATCCTCTGCGACGGCAATGAATGTTGAGCTCTTGGGATATGTCGGAAACCTAAGTGGTTTGTAAAGAGGAACTGCTTCGTCCCGACTGCGATGTTTACCTCAAGCATAATTGAGTGCTCGAGGCGAGCGGTCATGGCATCATGACAAAGAGCATAGTCCAATAAGGGCAATGTAATGTACAGAACAAAAGCAGATTTGTTGTTTGTGCCGATCCGCAAAAGTTAGAGTCACTCTGTGTTCGCTGCATGGTTTGAGCTGCCTTTTCTGGCTTAGACTCCTGCTGTGCTAAAGCGAATCGCGACTACAAGTTCGACCAGATTTCAAGGTTTTCATAAGGATATATACCTAGGGGTCCTTGTTCAGGGTCCCTCCTTTTACCCTTGGAGTGTAGGGTTTAGGGAGTTTTCGCGGGCTTGGCACTTAGGAATACGGCTTGAGGTGTATATTATACCGCAATTGCAACTGTAAAATAGGTGTATTTGCTGCAGATATAAATGAAACACTAAACCCATCCACTGCAGGTCTCAAGACATAGATCGTTCTAGCTAAGGCTCCACGGCACCTGCATATCGGTATATTATTCTACAAAGGCATATCAAGAATTGCTGCCAACTATTCAGCTCAGTACAGCCGCGGGCGTACTGCATGGCCTGTATTTCAGCTTCCATACTCTCCCCAATTCATGTCCTCCTGCAAGCCTTCAACCTAGGAGGGTTTAGGGCTTGCCCGAACCCTGAACCCTAGAAAGATAGTGCAGGTAGAGGCGAAAGCCCAGTGTTGTGCCGGCCTGCCAGCACATGGTGGTGCAAGCACCCAGGAGGAGAAGGGCCCGCGAAGAACGCTGCATGCCTGAGGCTGGCGCTGGCTCCAGCTCGGTCCAGGGTTAAGAGTGACATGATGACGTGGCTTCGAGTTTAGGGTTACGGTTACGGTGTAGGGCTCTCGGTTCCTGCTTGGGCCTTGTTCGCTTGTGGTTACAATCCAGCTCTGTACAGAATGTTTGTGCATTTGCGAAAGTTCCTTCAGACGTACGACACACCCTGAACTCAGGTACTGCCCCCTTACAGTAAGAGTCTGTAATAGGGCTACTTAAGGTCCTGGTATATCTATTACTGAGTGGGGGCCGTACCCAACCCTGAACCCTGAACCTTAACTCAAAATCGCGAGATTCAGACCCTGAACCTGAAGCCTCAAGTAAGCCCTAAACCAACATCTAAACAAGAGCTCTCCAATGCATACGAGCCTTTTTTTGGGGGGGGTGTAGGGTTTGGGACCTAAGCCCTACACCCTATACCCCAACCCGAAAAGCCAAACCCAAAGTCCCTGAATTGCAGATCCAAATCACTAAGCCCTAAACCCCTTAACCCCAAATCCTAAACCCCATAAACCCCCTAGTTTTAAACACCAAACCCTCTAAAACCCCAATTCACCAGACCCTAAACCCACCCCCAAAAATCCTACACCCAACAGACCCCCAGGTCCCCCCAGCCCTAACCCACCCAAAATCCTAAACCCTGAACCCCAAGTCCCCTACCCTAAACCCTAAAACCAAAATCCTGAACCCCAAATCCCATAAACAGTCGACCCTAGGTCCCTAACCCTAAACCCTGATCCCCAAATCCCATAGTAGACCCTAGGTCCCTAACCCTAAACCCTAAACCCAAGGTCCCGTACCTTAAACCCTAAACGCCCACCACAATTGGAAGACCTGGAGATGGTCTCGGCGAAGGGGGCGACGGCGGCAGCGGAGACCCGGCGAAGACTTTCGAACCCACGGTCAGCAGGCAGGCCCGAGGTCTCTCACAAGGGTGGTTGTCAAAATTAGGGTCCCTTTTGGGTACCCTAAATACTAGATGCCGTACTATAATAGGGACCCAAAAAGAGACCCTAATTTTGACAACCACCCATATAGACTAGGCTTAGGGTTTAGGGTATGGGGTTTTAGAATAATCATAGCAATGATGGTAACAATCGTAGAAATAAAGGTAACAACAACAAACAAGCAATAACAGTGATGCTAATGACAAAAACGAGTAATAATAATGGAAAAAATTGCAATGATAACAAGAGTGTTAATGACAAGTGATAACAGCAATAACAGACAAGAACCACAATCACAGTAGTCATAGTTTCCTGCGTTAAAGTGGTGGAGATCCGGATGAGAGCGGCCTTTGTCGGGCTTTTCACGGAGGTTTATAAGTTCGACGAGGGTTCACGGAGGATTGGAGCTCCTGTATGGATTTCGGCTGAGGCTTCAGAGATGAGGGTAGAGCAAGTTTCGGTTTAATTAAACCCCAAACCCTAAAACCCTAAACCCAGTTGAATTGGGGTTGGTGGCTTCGGATCTGCAAGGTTTGTCTAGCACAATTACTTTTGGATAGCTTCACACAGAACAACGAGTTTATCTTTTAACCGTGGAATCTTTGTTGCAAGATCAACGACTCCTTCAACACGCTTTGCGTGAACCGTCATGATTTTATGGCAGATATCTGACGTATGAGGAAGACCGGGGTCTCGCTTATCCACTCTGAAGGGTGGAGGTCTACAGCATGGCTCCCTCCTGTGGCTCACTTATACAGGTGCTTCATTATACTATTAATAGAATAAGGAACCACCCCCCCAAAATGCACCAAGACAGTATTTGTAATTATAAAGGCCCCTGTATTAGGGGTCTCTCCTGTGTAGGAACTGCGAGGTGGCTTCCCAGAGCAATGGTCAGATTTTCCGCGCGCACAGCATCCCTTTTTGGCCATTCCTCATATGCTCTCCCAGGCAAGTTTGGCCTAGACGAGCTGCGATACAGATTTCAAGAGGCTTGGGTCCTGTAGGTGCTCCTCCTACGATCCTACAGTTCATGATACAAATCCTGCATCACCTTGTGGACCCTAAACTACGGGAATTATGGTATATTCCTTATTATGGATAATGCGGGGATTTATATCATCCCTAAACCCTAAACCCCCTATAGATCCCTTAAAGGGCCCCTGAAAGATACCCTTATAGATCCCTTTAAAGGAACCCCAGGATAGTAACAGTAACAAAAGTGCTCAACAAGGGCAACCATGGTTCCGGGGAATCAGATCTCGAGTTTCGATCTGAAATGATAAGGATGATCCGGTTACATACTACGGTTTAGGGTTTAGGGTTTAGGGGTTTAGGGTTTAGGGTTTAGGGGTTTAGGGTTTAGGGTTTAGGGTTTATTGGGAGTTTCCGAATCGGGGTACCTTATTTTGGGGTCCTTATGATAGGGATCCTACTATTTAGGGTAGGGTCCCCTATTTCCGGAAAGTCCCATATTGGGGTCACGCATTCACCCAAGCCCCCTGGGTAGGGCAGCACACTGACGGCGCGTCCCCCAACCTCAGATCATCTTCCGTGGGGCGACAATAGCCACGTGCCGCCCTGACTGCAGCAGGGTATTCGCAGAGCGTACTTAAAGGCTCATGGGACTTAGTAAGTAAGGTTATAAGCAGGATATAGTTAGGATAACCCCACTTGGGGACTTATAACCCCAATTATAACCTGCTTACTAAGTCCCATGATCCTCTAAGTAGGGTGTAGGTCCCTGACTTGACGCAAGGTGATTGCATGCATTATTTGGATTGTCCAAAGCAGGAGCTACTGATTGCATGCACTTGGATGTCTGGCGATTAGTCAGAGGCTTTGCTTCGGTTACAACTTGTTCTATATTCGTAGTACTCATATATTAATGATACAATATTAAAAACGCTATTGTTAGTCGTAGTATAATACGACCATTGCTACTACTAGTTACTGTCCGGACTTTGGAACGCCGATGCTATACAGGTACACAGGAGTGGATTCGCACGGCCAGGTTCGAAGGGAATCAGAGGTAACTACTGTAAACACCTCAACGCCTTTTCGGCCGTAGAAGCAGATCTGTGGAATCGATTCGCAGGCCCCCTACCTCCCACACGCTGAAGCCATACCATAAGACCAACTAGCAACATCCAACCCGAACGCCCCCCTAACCCTGAACCTGAACCCCCCAGCCCCAAAATCTGACGCAGAAGGTGTGAACCCCTTGCCCCACACCCGAAGCCCCACAACCCATCGACAATGAATCCTTCTTAGAACCCGTATCGGAACCAGGTAGTGTCACTATATAGCACAACCCTTGTAGCAACCGCAAAACCCCAAACTCCCAAACACACGCAGCCAGAAGAGCAAGTTCAACAGCCTGGAGGATCTTGTGCGAAGCTGGAAGACTCGAAGACCACCAAAAGCTCTGCTCCTTGTGAAGGCTCGGCTTAAAGTTTAGGGCCTTGGCCTTGAGGCTCTTGGGCATCGGGCTTGCAGCTTTGGGGCGCCGGGTGTGAGGGCCGAGGCTTCGGTCCTGTAGGGTCTTCGAGGGAGTGAGCACCGGAAAGGAAGTTAACTTCAAGGGAGCCATGCAAAAAAAAGGGGGCCTTAATAGTTACCGGGGTTCCTTATTATATCCGTAGTATAATGGGCCCCAAATCACTCGCATGTGGCAGCACCGAGGCTGTGGAGTCTTTGGCATTTCAGGATGCTACTGTTGATGGACAGAATCCTGCATTACCCATTATAAGGAATATACCATGGTTCCCATAGTTTAGAGGCCTTAGGGTCATGGAGGATTGTGTCCATCAGCAGTAATGTTCAGTTCTGGCTTCCCCGCAAGGGCCAAGATAGTCCTAGCCGCCGAATGTCTTCTGAGGCTACGACCATCGCTGATGCTGAAGGCAGGAAAGGCCTGGCGCACTCTGCTACTTCTTGGAACCCAGAGAACCCCAAGACGCTCTGAATAAAGGATGAAAATAGCTTAAATCATAATATGGTTCCACGTAGAATTTACTATACCTGCCTTAGAACCACAATAAAAACTGGATTCTTCATATTCTTTCGGGTTTTATAATGAACAAAAAATACATAATTCCTAAGGAGGCCATAGCTTAAGGTATATTGTTTAAATCGCTTAAGGGGTATTGGGCTCTCTGGGCCCCTCCTGGAAGACAGTTGAAACAGGTCCACAAGGTAGGGCTCCTGAACACAGGAGGCCCGAGGCTATGCACAGGCCTGACACCGCGTTCACACGGGAAGTTGTCTATTAATTCGGACTACTTTCCGGAGTTCACATGGGATTTGTCTATTAATTCGGATTGATTTCCGGGTCCCATACGCGCACCAAAGGGGACCCGAATTTAGAGATCCCCCCCCGATCTAAGGCCTACCTCTGCTGACTTCAGCACCCGTGCGGCCTCCCCGCGAATTCGAAGAACCTCCGCTTCGCGAATCTCGGTGCCGTTGCGATAGAACCTGACGCACCCCAAGACCGACACCTTAAACCCTAAAATCTGAACCCAGAATCTTAAACCGCGACCCAGAGAGCCCAATACCCCTTAATTAAGCCGTATACCTTACATTAGTGGGGAACCCTTAACCCTAAACCCTATAAACCCTAAACCCTTAACCTTAAATCCTGAACCCTCAAACCCTGGACCTGAACCCAGGCTCTGACGCAGTTTTTTTGCAGACAAATGTAGGAACCTGATTAAGAAACCTTGGGCCTTGGTTAGGGTTCCTTATATGAATCCCACTATTTTGGGGTTAGCCTTTATTAAGGTTCCTTACATGAATCCTACTATTTTGGGGTAAGAGGCCCAGGGTTTCTTAATGAGGTTCTTGCAGTATTATGGTACCGCTATAGATCCCTTATAGTAACCCTTATAGACCCCTTTAAAGGAACGCTTAGGCCCAGGGTTTCTTAGTCAGGTTCCTACATTACCCGACGCTAGACCATGGGCAAAAGGAACATCAAGTCCGAGAGCGCCAGCAGGGGCCGCAAGTATCGAAAAGGTTGTT